TGACGGGCGGCGGGACTCCCGCTCCCAGCAGGCCGCGCGCGGCTGGCGTGAGTCTCGCGAGAAGGAGGGGGAGGAAGGAAGGACTCGGCTTCCCGGCGTGCCGCGCGGCTCCTGGGCGGGGTTCGGGTTGCCATGGAGACGATTATGCGCTCGGGTGTGGGGGTGGATTGCAAACCCGGGCTGGGGGGCTAGCACGTGTGAAGGCGCGTGCGAGGGGGCCGGTGAGTGTGCAAAGCCGGGCTCGGGAGGAGCGAGTGTGCGAGGCAGGTGGTGAGTGGATGTGCAAATCTGTGCTGGGGACTAGCGGCGAGTGTGCGAATCCGCGCCGGGTGCGGGCAAAAGCAGGAGTGAGTGCGTTAGCGAGCGTGCAAATCCGTGCAGTAAGGGAGTTGGTGGCGCGCGTGCAAATCTGTGCGGGGTGGTGGTGAGTGGGAGCATACGTGTAAGGGGGTGATACGCGTGCAAATTGGTGCAGGGAACTAGCAAAGCATGAGCGTGCAAATCCACAGTGAGAAATAGCAAGTGTGAAAACAAGTCTAAGCAGGTGAATGAGCGTGTGAATCTGTGCCAGGGGGCTTGTGAGCATGAAAACAAATACAGATGGCCTGGTGAGCGTGCAAATCTGTGCTGGGAACTAGAGAGCGGTGTGTGAAAACTTGCACTAGGAACTAGCAAGTGTGAAAGCGAGGGTAAGGGTGGTGGTGCTCGTGCAAAGCCATGTTGGGGGCCAGCTAGTGCAAAAACCAGTGTAAGGGAGCTGATTGTGCAAATCCATGCTGGGGCCAGCTAGCGTGAAAACAAGCATGCGAACTGCTGAGTGTGCAAATCTGTGCAAGTGTGAAAACAAGCGCAAGGGAGCTGAGGAGTGTGCAAATCTGTGCTGGGTGCCCGCAAGTGTGAAAACAAGCGCAAGGGAGCTGAGGAGTGTGCAAATCTGTGCTGGGTGCCCGCAAGTGTGAAAACAAGCGCAAGGGAGCTGCTGAGCATGCAAACCTGTGCTGGGAGCCAGTGAGCGTGAACGCAAGGGTAAGCAGGTTGGTGAGCGCGCAGATCTGTGCCAGGGGCCGGTGAGTGTGAACACAAGTGGAAAGGGCCCTGTGAGTGTGCATCCCCCGTGTGTATCCTTGCAGCGCGTGAGCAAATGAGGCCCTGTCAGCCTGGGATTGGCCCAGGCCCGCTCTGTGGCCTAGCCCCTCTACTGCTAACCAGCCGGGGGAGTCTCCGGGAGCAGGGGGAGCAGCCCCCAGCCCGGGGCAGTCGTGCCCACTCATGCCCCGTCTCTCCCCAGCATGGCCGGGACGCGGAGCTGGCGCTGGAACAGCTGCAGCCCCTCGCTGCGGGCACCGCCCCTGGACTTCTCCTTCCGAGGCATCAGCTTCCTCCAAGGTGCAGTTTGTCCCCCGGTGCTGCCTCGTTGCAGGCACAAAGCCACGGCAGGGCGGGCGCGGGAGCATCGAGGGGGCACCCCCTGCACGCCCGGCTGCCCGGTGCCATGTGGTCTCCATGGGGCAGAGATGAAAGGGGGGGTGGGGGGCACAAAGGGACTTGCCCAAGGCGGCACAGCGCACCAGTAGCAGAGCTGGGAACACTGCTCCAGGTGCCAGCTCAGCGCCTCAACCACGAGGACGCCACATTCCCTGGAAACCCAGGAGTATCCCTGCCCCGCATGCCCCGGGCTCTGCGGGAAGCCAGGCGTGGGAGCGGAGAGTGCACCCCGGGGTGCTCGGGGGCAGACGGGGCCTGGCTGTGCCCAGCCTCCCAGTCAGCCGTCTCTCCCCGCTCCCCAGACCTGCAGACGGAGGAGCCGCGGGCCGGCCCGAGGGCGATCCCACGCTCGGCGCAGGGCCGGATGCTGACGCGGGCCGTGCGCCTCAACAACAACACGCTCAACGAGCTGACGGACCTGGGCCCTGTGCTAGAGCTGCTGCTGGAGAACCCCGAGGAGCTCTCCTGGCTTGACCTCTCCTTCAACGACCTGCCCACCATTGACCCAGTGGGTGCACGGGGGCTGCAGATTCTGGTGCCGGCCCTAGTTTAGACCACCTGCTCTCTGTGCCTCATTTTCCCCACCTGTGAAATGGGTGCGGTGTGCTGGAGGTCTCTGTGCCCCTGCTGCAGACTTACTCCTGGAGGGTCTGGGATGAGGCAGGGGGAAGAGCTGTAGAGCTATCGGGTGGGGGCAGGGATGTCAATGGGACAAAGCCAGACCAGTGCTGAGCACCACTGGCTGCGCAGCCCTTGCTTCTCTCAGTCAGGGACCGTTGTGGGGAGGAGGGGGTCTT